TCTTAGAGCTTCAAATCTTCAAGTGATTCTTCAAGTGTTCTTGGGTTGAAAACTTCTCTTGTTCAACACTTATCTTTTGAAATCACATAAGGTGAGTTCATACCCCTACATTTTCATGTTTTCTCAAGTTTTTAAGGGGAGGAATATAAGTTAAAACACCAAGAACATAACTAAACTCTCCTAACAGCCTTCATCAGAAAAAGTTCAACTCTATTCACGGACTGTTTTGGGAAACTTAAACATTTTTGTTTTCAAAACTATACAAGGTGAAAGTAGTTCAAGTTCTTAGCTTTAAAATGACTACTTGCACATCTCCATACGATTTCTACAATTTATGGTGATTTTTACAAAACTGCCTATCATTTCAAAAACCAATCCGGACCGGTCTGTGATTATGGATTTTTTCACCCAAGTTGGAGGTCATTAAAAATCATAATAAAAATTATGAGTAAACTAGACACATTTTTGAAACTCTCAGAATTTACGGATTTAGTGTTTGACTTCGTATGATTTTTCTACGACATTTCTAAAACAGCGTAGGAAGGTTAGAGTTAGTTAACAGCTTATAACTTTCAAAACACTTTGTAACATGTTGAGCAAATTGTTAAATCTTTGATAACTTCATATATTACAAGTATTTATTGTAGTGGTACAATTATATAATAGAAAAACACTCACTGAATTTATAAGAATCCTCCATCATAACCATTAGTACAAAACAAAGCAAGATAAACATAGCTATATTGTACTATACATTTGACTTACATAGAAAGGGTTCTTAAACACCACAAATAAACATACTAAACTATAATAAGTATAGTTAGGTTGCATATACGTTTCAAACATGTTGATAAACTATAATAGGTATAGTTTATGATCATTTACATTACAAAAGGGTTTTATGTACAAAAAGGGGTACAAATACAAAGTGTCGGGTTTTTATACTAAAAGCGGTACAAATACAAAGTGCCGGGTTTTTATACAAAAGGGGTACAAATACAAAGTGTCGGGTTATTATACAAAAAGGGGTACAAATACAAAATGCCAGGTTTATATACAAAATGGATACAAATACAAAGTGCCGGGTTTTTATACAAAAGTGGTACAAATACAAAGTGCCGGGTTTTTATACAAAAAGGGGTACAAATACAAAGTGTTGGGTTTTTTATACAAAAAGGGGGTACCGATACAAAGTACAAGGTTCACTTAAAATAGATATTATGATATTAAAACTATATTTCATCTAGAATTGTTAGACTTCGACTATAATCACTAAGCGTATATGTTTGAGTCATATAAGAATTTAGTCTCGATTAGCTTAGAATTGGTGGGGCCCGCCTCATCTCCTGTTCCTTGTTGGGTTGTGGACCTAGGTCAGACCCACTATATTCAACGTTTTATCTAACTTAAACCTTATATAACTTATATACGCTGGATTATTATAGGAGAAATCTACGGGTCATTCTAGGGTTCATTAACACATCATATAGGAATATTATGTTCACACTTAACTAAGAAAATATTGGATTTTCTGGAAATCAAACTCTATCGATTTTACAAGGAAATGTTTTCTACTTCAAACAAAACTCTTATGAACTCACCAACTTAATTGTTGACACTTTTTCAAAACTACTTGTATTCTCAGGAAATCAGTGAAACAGGAAAACTTCAGCGCTTTGAGGATGGGACGTTAAACCGTCAACAATTTTTTTTTGTCATCATAATGTAATTGATTTTGAAACATGTAAACATATACTTCGGTGTAACTTTTTCAATTATATTTATGATGGTTGTATTTGATGGGTTTTGGACATATGAACATTCCTATGTGCACATACAAACGCTAATGCTTGGATCTAGGTTTCTCTAATTAAACATGCATTGAATCCAAGACTTCCAATGGCTAATTAGGTATAAGAACAATACAAAACCAGAGTTAGAAGCTTACCTTAAAACACTTGTTTTATCTTCTTGTTCTTGGAGCTTTAGAGTCACAATTGTCACTCCTCTAATGGCTTACAAACACCAACTAGCAAAGATAATGATTTGAGAGAGAGGAAAGAGGAGAAAATCAGCCAGGGTTTCCTTGGTTTAAAGGAGGTGCCGATTTCCCTATCCCAAGGGGTCTATTTATACTTGTAAGGCTCCTAGGGTTTCACCCTTAAACCCTAGTTGGATAACTTAGACTCTAAGTAATCCTAATCCTTTCCTTAGATATGCCTTGGATGATTTTGAGGCTTATCCTAGCCCTAGAAATTGTCCACCCTCTATCCTATAAGGATTTACAGCCCAAAGTGTAACTATCAAACAATTGACAGTTTATACCCTCTTATTCATTTAATCTCTTTAAGACACCAAATTAATACTAATTAATCTATGACTTATATTAATCAAATAACAATATTATTATTCCATATATCATTCTCATAATATATTAATAATATCTATTCTCTCATAATAAATCATCCTGTCAAGTTGCTATGGTGAAGGCAACCCAAAAGGACCATGCACAATCGGGTCAAATACTTACCTTATATAGTTACAGCCTTAGACACTATTCCAACAGTCTCCCACTTGGATAAGTCTAGTAACTATATGCACAAGTACAATCCGGTTTGCAATCATAGCTCTCAAAGACGCTATTCAACTCTGATCTAATCAATCTTTTCCTTTAGTTAAGGGATCGTACAGTCCTCTGTTAGATATCATGCTGACAATTCTATGGAATAATCAGTCTAGCATTTGGTTTCTCGATCTCCGATTTATTTGACATAGAACTTAATCGAACACATCAATTCAGTTCTGACCGGGCCCGACACATAAGTCAAATCAAATCATCGAGCGGCCGAGATATCGCTTTTTCCTTCTTAGGATAAAAGTTACAGATAAACTTCGACTTATATGCATTTACTTATTCATTAATCAACTATACACAACAATGTGTTTTATAACATCGAGTTACCAATGCGTTTTCGCATTATCAATGTACAATCAATTAACAAATAACAAACCATATATCTAGGTTTTAAGACTATATGATATTATCGTCTTGCGATAACCCTTTTTTGTCACATTCCATAAGGTGATTCCAGCAAGCGCGGGTTTGTTCCAATGCTCAAAACTAGTTCATAAGCACTCATGAACGTTGCAGCAATCTTTTGCTATGTCTAATACCATTTAGACAATCTACACACCTATTCATGACAATCTTCATTCATATCTACTTCCGACATATGAACAATTGTGGACAATTTGAATAATTCGATTATTTTTAATAAACTCAATTATTCTAGAAGTCAAAACATGCAAAGTGAAACAATAGTTAAACAATTAACATAAGACAGTGACGTTACTTATAAATAAAACTCCTTTATTTAATCATCAAATGTTAATTACATTTATCTATTACACGTTTCTAATACTATCTAATCTATGCTAATATCATCCTTCAGTCCAATATTCCTAGCATGCTGCAAGTGCTTAACCCTACTCAGTCCCTTCGTAAGCGGATCTGCTGGGTTATCTTCCGATGATATCCTCTTCACTACAAGTTGTCCATCTTCTACACGATGTCTAATAAGGTGATATTTTCTGTCGATATGTCGTGATCTACCATGATCTCTCGGTTCCTTGGTCAAGGCAACCGCTCCTTCATTATCACAGAAAATTTCCATGGGCTCCTTTATGGCAGGTGCAACTCCAAGATCACCAATGAAGTTCTTCAACCATATTGCCTCCTTCGACGCTTCGCTCGCTGCAATGTACTCTGATTCGCATATTTGGTCCACTACAACAACCGTCAGTCCGGATTGGAAATAGGAATAGATGACCATGGACTTCATAATAAAGCTGCCAAGAACTTCAAGTGTGACACCGTCTGGGTAGTGTTTGACTGTTTAACCAAGTCTGCCTATTTCCTAGCTTCAAAGAAACCGATGAAATGGAGAAACCTGCTAGGACCTATCTCAAGGAGATACTCCATTAGCTATAAGGCACGTTGGAGATACTCTACTTACTGGCCTTAAGGGCAATCATGAAACAACGAAGAAGATCGATAAGATAAAGGAACAATTGAATGCCGCACGTAGTCATTTGAAAAGCTATTCTGACACAAGACGCAGACCCTTAGAATTCAAAATAAGAGGCCTTTTTCTACTCTAGTCTAGTAGTACGCGTTTCCCTGATTTCGAAAATATAAAGGACATCCAAAACGGAGTTCGTATGCAAACGATACGACCGTTTTAAAAATCCAAAACCTATATAATACCGATTTTCTTAAAAACTGTCAAAACCGTTGAGGGACTTGCACACTTCAAATAAAAATTTCGAAAGCATTTTTGGACTAAGGTTATAGCCTACTATTTAATTTCAAATTTGAAATATTTTTTATAATAAAATATTTATAAAAGTTGAAAAATCATTCGTTTTCAGATTATTATTCGCAAAACCTTAAACTGTTGATTTCGATATAATTTCAATTATTGGTAACGTATCCTGGAATAATATATATAAATATATAAATCCAATCCGGTTGATGAAAATTTTGAAGGTGGAAATGACACAATATTTCAAAAATTCGTACATATATTCATATGTAAGGAAACATATTTTTATAATGACTAAAGATTTAATTGGTATAAGGTAACCCTAGTAAACAATTGTCGACAAAACTAGTAAACTGTATTATTAGTTATGCAGACACGATTAAATAATTATAAGAAATAGGTTAATAAAAGTTGAGGAAACTTTAAGAGAAAATACCGGGTATAGACAAAAAAGGGGGGAAATTTAAAAATATAGTCACAAATTTTTTTTTCCAGCTATAGACATGCATTCCGCGGAGGGCCCTCCGCGGACCTCCATGGAATGGCGTCATCTTTGCGTAGTGGCCGAAAGATAGGTTGTTAGCCTTTTTAAGCATGCTCCACGGAAGGGGTTCTGTGGATTCAATATAACCTCCGCGGAGAGAGCTGATAGGATCTCGTAAATACCCCTCGAAGATGTCGACGCGGAGCTCCGCGGAGAGAGTGATGCCTCCACAGAGGAAGCAGTTGGAAGTCATAACTGAGTCCGCGGAAAGGAGGACGCGGAGCTCCATGGAGAGAGTAATGCCTCCGCGGAATGGGTGGTTGGAGCTGATTTTGAAGAGTTTTTTGATACAAAAGTTTTTTTTTTCATATGTTTGTTTCACTTTGATCGATAGATCAGTTCGTTTTCATTTAATTTTCAAAACCAAATATGAGTTTTGTTATTTTATGTACTGGAGGTTTTTGGCAGATAAGTAATGGGATTAACACCTACGTTAGACCAAAGTTAAACAACTTGGATTTACTGCTTCCGCCTAATTTTGATTGTCGAATATTGTTTGATTTGGTCAAAAGTAAGGCTAAGATGTTCAATAGTAATATATCATTGTCATTTCAACACCCAGTTCATGGGTATGTGATGAATATTTTAGATGAAGCAGATGTTCATCAACTCAGAAATGTAGTCTCTGAAACGAAGGAAATTGTGCATTTGTATTTAGAGGTGTTTGAGGGATTGGTCGAACACATAGAAGCGGCTGAGAAAGTTGTACCATACAATGTTGAAAACATTGTTTCTAATAATGTTGAAGATTGTCCAGAAGAAGAAACTATGGAACTGAATACGGTTGAAGAAAAAAATTTATATGAGTTTGGAAGACTGACCGATAAAACTTTCTCAGACGGTGAAGAGTCAAATGATGGATGGTCAGAAGATGAGTTCACACACGGGAAAAAAGCTTCAGACATATTTTACGGTATGCCTCCCATACCTGATTGTCCTGATCCTATTGTTGAACCCTGACCATTTCACAGTTTAGGTCCAAATGATAATATGTTTGTTCGTCAAACATATGACAACAAACAACAACTAATTTTTTCTTTGAGTCTTAAAGCAACAAGAGAAAAGTTTCATTTTAAGACCAAACATTCTAACAAAAATCGTTATGAGGTACATTGTGAAATTGAGAACTGTAGTTGGCGTTTGTATGCAAAACGCCTTGATCCCACTGATGAATTTGAAATCAAGACTTTCAACAACGTGCACACATGTTCGTCATTACAGATACACCCTAATCATAAGCATGTTAATAAAAAAGTCATGGGTACTATATTGCATGAGATTATGGGAAAAACTCGTTCCAAGGTTTGGAGTCCTAATGAAATATCAAGGGATTTGAATGCTTTCCTGGAAATCAACGTAGATTACAAACAAGCTTGGCGTGCAAAACAATATGCTATGGAACTGTTGTTGGGATCCTCTGAAGAATGTTTTGCCAAACTTCCTATTTATTTTCACAATTTGAAGAGGCATAATCCAGGTATAGTTCCGTATATTCAAACAGATTATGAAGATTCTTTTGAGTGTTGTTTTTATGCTATTGAGAGCATGGTAAATACAAAAAACGTGTTGTTATTTAATATATAATTTTTGTAAACAAATTATAGAGTGTTTATGTGCTCCATTTTTATATATTAGAGATACCAGCATTCAAAATATTTTGTCGTAATGTTATAATTATGGATGGTGCCCATTTGAAGGGTGCTTTTAAGGGAACCATATTGCATGCAGTAGCTATGGATGGGAACTACCAGATACTGCCCCTTGCGCACGGAATATGCAAAAAAGAGAGTGGTCTTACGTGGACATGGTTTCTTGAAAAGTTGTATGAATGTGTTGGTGATTGTCAAGAATTGACTTTTGTAACTGATAGGGCCGATGCAATTCGTGTTAGTATTGAAAATGTTTTTCCACATGCTCATCATGGCTTGTGTGCTTTTCATATACTAGGAAACATAGTACACAAGTTTGGGAAAAATGATAAAACGAAAGTGTTGTTTTGCAGGCTTGTGAAAGCTTACAAAAGAAATGTTTTTGAAGAATTGTGGTATAGATTTAGTTCTACTAGGCCGCAAGTAGCAGCGTATCTAAGTGCAATTCCCCGTGCTAAATAGACTAGAGCATATTCGCCGTCGAAACGTTACGATTACATGACCTCGAACACCTATAATACCTCTTCTTGAGTTCTTCCGACGTCTTTCACAGGAATGGTGTTACAAGCGTCACATCGAAGGAGGTATGAATTTTATTTTGACTTTAATTAGGTCAAATAATTAGTTAATTATATATATCTTGTTTATAGGGAAATGTTCAACAGTGCTAACCGAGTGGGCTGAAAAAGTAGTTAGTAAAAATGAAGAGCGTACGACAGGATGGTCCGTTTCTGGTGTTTCATATGCACTTTATGAAGTTCATGATTTCAAACATGGTGGCATAGTTGATCCGAGGCAAGAGACTTGTACATGCAAATATTGGGAAGGAACTGGGTTGCCTTGTGGTCATGTGATAATGGTCTTGAAGCACTTGAAAAAAATTAACTTCGGACATCTGGCTATAGATGCTTACAAAATGGAAACATACCGAAGTACGTATGAGGAGCCATTTTACCCCTTCCAGAACTGTGTGATTGGGAGATTCCTGCTGACATAATGGTTGTGAAACCCCCGATAATGGATACACGTCAAGAGGGTAGACCAAGAAACATAAATCATATTCCGTCTCAAGGTGAGGAACCTATAATAAGAAGGTGTAGTATATGTGATAGTACAACACATAATGCAGCGACTTGCCCGACATTGGTCCCAAAGAAACAAAAAAAAGGCTAGAAAAAGTAGTACGACATCATGCAGTAACACAAAAGGAAAAGGGAAAGGGACAGAAGGGACTCAGGAGACGCTAGAGATGCACGGGACACAAGAGACGCATTGGATGAGTGGGATGCAGAGAGAAGACTATTGTTCAACGTTTGATTTGAATGATTGATGTTGTATTTATAATTAATTATGTTTTGTTTTAGAGGACATTAATTTTTCTACTTTGAGCTGGTGTGTTTATTTTAAAGATGATGGGTAATATTATGATTATATTACTGCATAATTACTAGTAGAGTAATAACTAATACTCGAAGTTGATACATTCAACAAACTAGAAACATATACTAAACGTACAACAACGGTAATTAACTTAAGGGAATTGCAAAGGATACTTTTCTTTCTCTATTGTTATGTAGTCATCCCTTATTCTTATTTTATCTTCCATATAGTCCTTTTGCCTACCAAGTTCTATCATTTCTGCATCCTTGTCAGCAAGCCATTTTTCAGACAGTTTGAGATTCTTCTTAGTTTTTTTATCTATTCCTCATGATCTTTGATTTTTTTTTGTAATTGTCATCCTTTCCTCAACATCTTTGCACTCCGCCGCAATGAGGTCACGACGTTCAGTGAGAGCCCGAGATGAGTCTTTATCTTTTTTTTTGTTGTTCTTCAGCCCATTGTAGTTGTTGCAAAGTATCCTCCAACATATATGGCTCTCTTAAATTTGGTGATGGTGCAAGAAAAGGGTCGATTGGATCACAATAGAAACAATCAACCTCGTTGCACGAGCAAATATACAAAGATGAAGATGAAGATGAAGTCATTTTAAATTTTTAAAAAAATTATAACTCTATAAGAATAATCCGACGACCATCCATGACTATATATAGTCCCTTCCACTCCGCAGAGAGTTGTTGTCAGTCCGTACAGTTTTTCGTCAGTCCGCGTTACTGTGTTTATCAGTTCGCATAGTTTTTTGTCTAGTCGTTGTCATGCATACATATTACAGTTATGAGAATACAATTATTATTTAAAGGTAAACATTTTTTATTAAAAAGTAAACAACGCAAACAAACCATTACAAGTACGGTTAACATAGAACTGAATACAAACTAATATCCGTTGTCATCCACACAATAAAGTTCAATTGAATTGGCGTGGAGGTAAGACCACAACACTTTCGACTGGTTTTTCCCAATGCCTAAGGGTTGGAATAGGATTCACCATCTCAATTTGATAAGCATTTCGATACACCACTGTACTTAACTTTAAATTTACCATTTGATGGATTTCTGCAATTTCAAGTCTGTGTAGTGAAGCTATAGCATGCTCACAAGGTATACCGCATTTTTGCCATTTACCGTAACTACAAATACCACGGTCTAATTTTACATATTCGGTTGTTGAATACTTAGTCACTTCATATCTATCGCCAACAATATGCGTAATCCTACAACCATCCGAGTGGATAAATCTTTTATGAATCACCTTAAGTGCATAAGGGGTTAGAAGATTATGGAAATCCCCTGTGAAATAAACTGAATCAATAAAAAAAAATTATAATGTCATAACGTATAATAAACATATCAATTCACCGTTTTAATGATGTCTTAACTTATAATTACCTCCAAACGCAACACGTCGAAGATACACTGGTTGCATCGAGTCATGAACCATTTCAATGATTGTTGTTATTGGAAACTCATGCGTGTTTGTTTTAAACCAATTGACAACATCGGGAATGTCAATGAATTTAACATTGAAACGTACTCTTGGAAAACAAGCCCGTACACATTTTGCAATGGGAATATTGTCAAGCCAATGAAGATCATTCCCATTTACCTCATTTTTTAAATTGTTCAAAAATGCATAAAATTGAGATAAATTATACGCTTTACACGTCTTCCAGAACAACTGTTCTACGACTGTATTGGTTCCGATGGAAGCGCGTATTTTCTCGGCTATATTTTTACAACAATAGCCATGATATGAATCAGGGTAGACTCTTTGGACTGCAAAGTCTATAGAATCAGACATATGGCTTATGAAACCAAATTCTATATTGTCACCTAAATAGTCTTTCAGCCTCCTCATGAACTATAACCATGAATTGTCACAATTTATGGTTCCCAAGGCAAACGCTATGAGAAGGGGTTCATGATTTCCATCTAAAGCAACAACAATGTACATGGATGTTACATACGCCCCAATTAGAGGTACTTGACCAACAAATTTGATTGGTATCATAGACGTGAGAAACGTACGAATCTGTAAGTCAACATAAGAATATTAGGCATATAACATCTTGAAATAACTAAATATTTATTTACTATAAGGGACTACATACCACGCATCCCAATGCCACGAAACAAATTTGGAAACGATTGTACTGATCCTTCTTAATGTACGTGAAGGTGCTAAGATTACTTCTTTGCAGATTATGGAAAAAAGTCGATAGGCTGGAGAAACTTTTCCTTAATACGTGATTGACTGAACTCATTTTCACAACTTTCGACACCTTGTAAATTATCGTTATTGTTGTCCAATTTATAAGGAATTAGTATACATTATTCCACAGAACTTAGTTTTCAGTCTGCATAAATGTGTTGTCATTAAGCGTAGCTTATTTGTCAGTCCGCGTAAGCTGTTTGTTAGATAATGTTTTTTGAATGTATGGTTTTGTAACATTTGTTGGTCAGATAGCTTATTTGTCAGTCCGCGTTAAGAAATTTTTTATATATATTATTCGTTATCAGTCCGCGTTACTAACTCGTAAGTCCGCGTTACTGACTCGTCAGTCCGCATTAAGAAACTTTTTATATATATTATTCGTTGTCAGTCCGCGTTACTGACTCGTAAGTCTGCGTTAAGAAAGTTTATATATATATATATATATATATATATATATATATATATATATATATTATTCATTGTCAGTCCGCATTACTGACTCGTCACTCAGCGTTACTGACATATCTTTGTATAACATACATTTTTATATATATTAAACGTAGTGTCTATACGAAATTCAATTCTTTAGTTGATAGTAGATCAATTAAGAAATGGCGTCCAATGTACCAAGTTCTTCGAATGCAACAACTCCCTCTAATGCAGCCTCTGCAACAAATTGTACATATCCATGGACACCAACAGAGTTGTTGGTCCTAATACTAAGCTGGATTACCATTTATGAGGGTCTACCAGTAATGGCTCCCCTGAATTGCCTTCTAGATGATGAATAGTCCCGCCTCATAGCTTTGTTCAACTATCAGGTTGGGCAAGGACACGAATGACTAAAACCTGATATTGTTAGTAAATGGATGGATTTAAAGTTTAAGGTCACATGGTTCAATCAATGCTACAATCGTGAGAAAATGCGACACTCTCAAGCAGATGACGAAGAACTTCTTGAAGATGTGAATTGATATTACCTATGTGAGTTTGATGGACATGATTTCGAGTATACGGACGTTTGGAATCTGGTAAAAGATAAAGCTTTTTTCATGTAGATGAGTATTTTACTTCCAATGTTTTATCTAATGTTTGTTAGTCGTAAGAAACCTTATTTTTATGTAGACGACTCTATTGTAATGTATTCGTGTTATTTGTAATGTTTATTTTGTTTAAATAATGTTTATTTTGTTTGAATGTATTGTTTCGTAACATTTGTTGGTGAATTATGTTTAAAAATATAAAAGATAATTACAAGATTACATATTACCAGAAATGACACGATTACATACTAGAAACAAGTATTTAATATTAATATATATACAAAGTTCCTAATATCAACTTATATAGTATCCCAAATAACATTTGCCATCTTATTTCTGTAGAAAAATGCAGCTTCTCTAGATGTCCTTGAAATCACCACTGGTAACCTAGAAACAATCATTTCCATAAACATGCATACAAATACTCCACAATCCCCTCTTTCAAAACTATATTCTTGTTGTGGGGCGTCTACAACATCAACAAACTCGACCTTTTCTTTGTCTCTGTGTCAAATGGGGAAATGGCTCCAATAATCAATGGCATCCAACTCTGAGATAATACTATCTCCAAAACTTTTGAATTCTCCATTAGTGTTGTACGTTGAGAAGTAACCCGCAACTCGTGCTAAATCAAAATTTTCTACTTTCCAGGTATCTAAATGTAGAACCGCCAAAAACCAATGGGCATGCACAACATTTATTACAAATAAAACCTGCAAAAAAATATAAATTAAATACTAGTAATTTCAGTAATATTATATATATATATATAAATATATATATATATATATATATATATATATATATATATATAGATATATATATATAACAATAATTATTAATCTTAACTAACCGTATCCACATCCTTCCATCTAGGACAACCTCCAAAACCATCTGCTACATTCCTAAACACATATGATTTTCTGGGTTCCAAATTGATTCCTTCAGAATATAGAGTCCACCGAGCATTCGCCGGCCGCCTATCCATCAATCAACAGGGATCTCCATATAGTAATATTCTGTACATTTTAATATAAAAATGTTAGAATTATTTATATACATTTTTGTCTAAAAAATAGTTAAAATTTTAATTAAAGGAATGTTACCGTAGAAAGTAACCACCCTTTGTCACTAACAGAAAGTAACATCGCCCAAAAATCCATATCTAGTGGGAGGATATGCAACCTATGTTTAGTGATCAGTTTGGGAGAGATTAAACTCCATTCTTGCCAGAAACTCATCGGACTAGTAGTATAAATACTGTCCAACAACAGATTGTTTGAAGGAACGTCACTACTCTCTGCATTGACAATGTCCTCATTTGTTTTTTCAGGACTCTCCGCTATTTTTTTCTTCCTTGTCTTGCTGATTTTCTTTACTTTTGGTGTTGATTGCACCTAAAAAATCAACATGTTTAATCATTATCAATAATGTAGTATTTTTTAAAAATATCAAGTTTAAGATATAAGTTTTTTACCACTGTGAACGGAGTGCGCTGATACCATGCTGGAGCCCTCTTTCGTTGCGGCCTACCAATAGGAGTCTTTATTTTTGTGTCATGTTCACCCAAGTCCGGTGACGGCTCCGTAGGTGCAGGCACAACTTTTTTCTCCAAACCAACATAGTCGAATTGCGTATCATGGCAATATGCTTCTTCACCCTCTTCGTTTATCATCTCCTCCTCTTCCTCCTCATCCTCTACAATCCGTTTGTTTGGCTGATCTTTTTTCTTCTAATACACGGTCTACTTTAGATGATAATTCAGCCACGATGCCTAGTAGACACTTCACTAATGCCTTTGTGCTACTCTTCTTCTTCTTTAGCAACCTCGTTTCTATTTCAGGCTGTTGCGAGGAAGAAGCATTTGTGGCAGATTCAGTCGAACATGTATCCGACTTGTACATACTTCTACGAGGAGGTGACTGAACAGCAGGTGGACTATTTCGGACCGGACTATGTTGCGGTGGAGGAGACTGTTGCGGTGGAGGAGACTCTTCATGGTTAAGAGTCCAATTCACGTATCGAACATAAAAGGGTAACATCAGCTCCGTCTCGTTTGCCACCACTTGAATAGGTTGGTTGTTAGGCTGCAAAAATTTAAAATTAAAATCAAATTGTTACTTTAAAATGAAAATATGTGGAATTTGTAAGTATAAATAATCCTTAATATAAAAAGCATACCACAGACACGTTGATTATTCTACAACAGTTCTCCCAAGATAACGCTGATTTACTTCTCCAACACCTCATCATTGGCAATTCTGTCGGGATGCGTACATAAAATTTGGTTGCCTCGGGGAACGTCTCCAAAATCCAGATCTATAGAAAGAAGTTGAATGTTATTATCGTATAGAAACAAAACAATGATAAGTAATTAAATTTATTAGAAAATAACCTTAAATGGCAGCATAAAACCAAGAACGGTATACTTATGTATGTTCTTGGATTCGGGATTGGCCTCCTTGAATTGTCTAAATTCTACTATTTTTTTAAACATTTCACGCATCATCCACGAAGTATACCTCCAAAGATATGTACCCCATGCAAACCTGCAATATCAATATTAATATTATTATTATTATTATTATTATTATTATTATTATTATTATTATTATTATTATTATTATTATTATTGTATTCTATTAATACACAATATTTAAATGTAATTCTTGTTCCAATCATCTCTATTATCAGCAAGATTGTATATTGCAGCGGGAATACACGTTTTTATGTCGCGTCCGTGGAGTCCCTTCAACACAAACACTAGCTGGATAAGCATCACAACATCTTCATCTTCAACTTCTAAATATTTAGGAGACATAATGAAGTCTTCCAAATCTTTCAACCGCAAACGTGCATCAGAAATGTCTGGGAACAAACGAGCACGAAGACTTGACTTTGACCGGCCTTTTTCGTCGTAGAGTAAATCCACATAACGACCAACTTTTAGACCACAAATAAGAATATATTCCGTTTAACCAAATTCCAAATGCATCCCTTCTATATCAAATAAAAACCTCCCCATTTCAAATACTTCTTGAGTCCTTACTTCGTGCAACATCATCAGATGCACAAGTAACAGATCACCATGTGGGATATGCATCCCTAAAAATATTCCAAACGGCGAAGCTTCGAATAATTGTCGTTGTGATTGTGTTAGCCACGGAAAATACTAATTAATGATGGTACCCACCACACCTTTTAAAGTTAAATCAGCTTTTTGATTGAGGTCTAAGTGCTGCAAAACATAATATTTAAATTTAATTTCATATAACAGAAACATAAAAAAATAAAATTTACAAAATCACTTTTAAGGTCATTCTGCGGAGGCTATAGGTCATTCCGCGGAGAAGACTCTGCGAATAGACCTTCACCCTCCGCGGAGCCTCTTTTCTATATTTTCGTGGAGCATTGGTTCACTCCGCGAGGGCTTTAGGTCATTCCGCAGAGAAGCCTCTATGGATAGACCTCCACCCTCCGCGGACCATCTTTTCTATATTTCGTGGAGCATTGGTTCATTCCGCGGAGGGTCCTCCGCGGACTGACATAACCGGTTTTCAACAATTTCCTAACATATACTACATTAATCGAAATAAGGGAAAGTGACAATTACCCGGGAGCCTAAACTGTCGCTCAAAATATTGGGGAGATTCTCCTCCATTTCTATGGCCGAAAGTCAATCTTGGTCGCCGGTTTCGTCGTTGTCGTCGGTCGCCGGAGCGCTGTCGGAGAATCGTCGTTGTCGGTCGTCGGAGTGCTGTCGGAAAAGCTGGTGGAGACTTGACGCGGAGAACCGTCTTCGTAAACGAGAAATGGGGGACCAGTGGGGGGACCAAAGAGGAGGGTTCGGTTTTGTGGAAAAGATGAAGGTGAAATACCAAAAATGGCCCTCTCCACGGAGGTAAATTACAAAAATACCCCTATCCGCCAAGGTCCGCGGAGGGACCTCCGCGGAATGCATGTCTATATCTATAATTTTTTTTTTTTGTGACTAAATTTTGAAATTTCCCGCCTTTTTTTTTTTGTGTATACCCGGTATTTTCTCAAACTTTAACCTTTAAGCAGATTACTATATAAAATCATATAAATATAAATTTGATGTTGCATGAATTTATGTACATATATTATGGTCTTATAAAATATAAATAGAAAAATATATTTGTAAATAAATAATGCGAATTTTACATTCGAAGAAAATATATTGCTATAATGGATGATAAGAAACTCAAATGGGATGAAAATTCATTAAAAAAAAAAAAAAAAAAGCATTTACTATTATTATAAAAAATAAAGGCATATATATTACATAATATTATGTAAAAAGGAAATTATGAACAATTTTTTATATTTATACAATTACAAACTTAATTAAAACAAATACACATACATTACATGCGTTTGGGAACAATACATTATATAAAATATTAAATACAAAACTTATACCCTTTACACTTAAAAATGACGGCAAATTTATGGTTACTTCTAAAATTTGTTTTGAACAATTACAGTGCTCAAAAGAAAGGGATTCTTGCACTCCACTGTCTTCTTTCCTTCCCACGTTTTTTTTCACATGTATTATAGCTCACACTCCTCAACGACTGATAATATAACAACTCACACTCCTCAACTAATGATCATATAACTGATTCGCACACAATCAAACAACAATTAAAAACTCTTGAACATAAAATTTATGAGATTCAAAAGAGGTAGAGGAACTCTTCCTGTTTGCTTTCTGTTTGGTCTCCGTTTTCAGTTTTCACATCCAGTTGGATATAGAATAACCAAAGTCACCCCGTTGCTGTTTTCCTTGCACCCATCGAAGATGTCTTCCCCTGTCACAAACAAACCCAAACAACCATTTGGTCCCCTTCATCAATTTCGGTCAAAACAAGAACAAAAGAGAAAAAAGAAGAGAGAAGAAAATATCGAACAAGAAACAACAAGGAACATACCTGTTAACGATCGAGTAACCAAACGCCCCATGTGAGCTGCTACAGCCGTCAGTTCCTCCCATCAAACCACCTCCTTCCTACTCCCTGTTTGCAGTGGGCATCCACCATCGATACACCCATATTGTTGAATTTCGTTCATTGTTCCCTTAGTTTGATCGAGCTCTTTTTCGTTTTCCTTTCTCCCAGTCGAACTTAATGAACAAAACACTAACCTGAAGTCGCTAATCTCCTCCCCTTCGTACCTCATGGCTGGAGTAGAAGAAGAACAGATTCGCTGCTTCGTCTCTTTCTTTTCTTCGGTCCAACCAAGCTTCGGAGGTTCTCGTACTTGCTTGACATCGGTCGGCTACAAGATGCACGAACCAGGAAGGTTCCTTGGAGATCGCCTCCTTACCTTTCCACCCCACAACAATCTGCCGGACGAGAAGACGAAGCCTCGCTGCCTCTACTTCCCATCTCTCCTTCGGCCTCGTCAATCCCCAGAGATATCCTCTGCGCCAAAGATCAGAAGGAAACGGATTAGCCGCCTGCGAGATTCCTCATGCCTCCGGTCTCCTTCGTGGTCTCCGACATCCGAGGAATCGGAAGCAGCGCCGACGAGCCCTTCGCTTCTTCCTCTCTTCATTAGTCTGCCTCGACTCACCCCCGATCCATTCTGTTTGTTCCATCTGCAAATGACGAAGACGGGAGGTTATCAAAGCCCTAATTTAATTGATGTTTGGACCATTAAACAAATATGGTCCCTCTATGAGAATCTCTTCCATAATAACCCTAATCCCTTTTAAATTCCTTCAAAAATGACAAAATGAACCCTCCTTTGACAAAACATGTAGAATCAGTCCGATTCTGTCAAGAAGTTACATACCAGCCCCTACAATTTGTTCAAGTTACAAAATCAGTCCCTCCTTGAATTATTTTAACCAAAACAGTCCTATGTTGGTTAAAATAAATTACCAAATAGCCTCCAATTGTTTGATTCGTTGCAAAACGGTCCCGAGAACACTTCAAAGTTCAAGAATGGTGGATTTGCGGTTCACACAACAAGTTTCTTAAAAGAATCTGAATTCGGACAACTTGAACTTACGCTTCGAGGGTGAGTCCTTATGGCCCATTTTCAACATTTTAATTATTCCGGGGGGGGGGGGGGGGGGGGGGGGGGGAGATAGATGTCCCTATGTGTTTTATTGATACAAATATATTATCCTTTATGCGAAAATAAAATAAATCTAGTTTATAAAAATGTTATTTAAAAATTTAACATAATGTTACAAATAACTAATATAAACTTTCCTTATACATATTATGGAATTTTTATCATGAAATAACTAGTCCACACGACAAATATTACATGATACAAAAATATATGATTTTTAAATGACATTGTATATTATGACAAGTACGTTATAACACTTTATAAGATTTCAGTTATTCAAGTTATTACTATACATGCATATTTATATGTTTATATGCATAAAGTTTATATATGTACATATGTTCATCAATTTGAAACATTCATTTTTATAAAGGCGAGCACATTACATTTTTACATATAAGTCAAACATACTCAGCTTTTATAAACTTTATACAATGATATCCGTTACACGTAGAACTTACCCACAGGTAACTTAGGGCTTAGAGTTATTCACAAACTTTTTAGTGAGATGTTACGTTATTCATTACCTAAGTTTAAACACTTAGCATACCCAAACTACTATAATCGTTAATCTTCAGAGCGAGATACATATGTATAGATCTATATGGGGTTGACATCCCCACCTGCGGTGCCAGCTACAACCTCGACTAGTGCCAAAATATGTAGTTTACTCTCTTCTTCACCAAGTTGATGGTTTCGCTAGAGATATGTTGAAATTGTCTTGTGTTGTAGAGAGATTTGAAACATTGTTAACTGATATTTAGGAAAAGGTATTCATCACTCAAAATTATATTCAACAAACCTTAAAAAGACTTCTTTGTATGATGTATATTGATTTTGATGAATTTCACCAATAAGACACCACTTGTTGGATGGGATGCAGTATCAGCCCTCGTCGATTAGTTTCTACGTTCCGCTTATCTCTATAAAAGTGACGTTTGTCAAATAACTCTTCTGCGAAATGAAGTGTTTTTGAAAAACATGTTTTTACCCATTTGTCCCTCCATGGACTCTTTGACCCATAGATCACTCACCTGTGAAATAAATAAAAAACAAAATATGTCAACAAATACATGATGCTTTTTTTTGTTTCAAATGTTTCACATTTTTTTAGATATATCCATTAAACAAATATTAAATTCAAGTGAGTAAACATTAAGATGTTTCAAATTTTAGAAATTTGAAAGTAAGATTGAAAAAATAAGTAATATGCTTTCATATTAATCTAATTTCAACGCAAACATGAGAACCGTTAAAAGTCAATGAACTTGCCAAGAAAATAAAAGAAAAATAGGCAATCCATTGTATAACCATGTGACATTCCACATCATTAAAAAAAATCCAAAAAAAAGTCATTTTTTGCAAAATTTAATGCTATTAATGAAATTCATTTCTAGAACACTTCTCTACAAATGAGCTACAATGCAGGAATTTTTTTTCCATATCATCTTAAAATAATCTAAAATAATAATTTTATAAATGTACAATATTGTTAATGATTTTTTATCTTTTGCAAATTTCTGTACTAAAATCAATTTTTTTTCTTAGAAAACTGTCATATCAATGACCTATTAATGAACATTTAAAAGTATATATTACATAAATGATCCACTTGTGAACAAAATTACATAAATGGTCCATATTTGAAACAAAAAATACATAAATGGTCTACATATGTAAGAAAATAAAAATGCACTTTTCATTAACAAAATGTTTTCAAAAAAGAACTATCCTATTAATGAGCTCTAACGTTCAAAATCTGTAAAAATAAAATAAAAAAGATATTCATGCAGCTAAAAAGAGTACGAAAAATTAATGTTTTGAAAGTGCGATGCTATTATTGAAATTTGTTTCCAGAAAACAGTCTTTTAAACGTGCTTTAGTATACAAAAGAAATGTAAGTTTCCATATAATTTAAAAGTAATCCAAAAATGGTAATTTTCTAAAAGTATGATGCTATTTATTAACTTTTTCGTTTTGAAAAGTTGAATACTATAATTTTTTTTTTCAGAAAACTATCATTTTAATGATCTACTAATGAACATTTAAACTGCATTGATGTAACCGGAAATAAATAAATAAGATAGGAAACCTAAAATATTACATAAAAGGTCTATATGTGAAAAACATTTACGTAAATGGCCCATATGTGAAAGAGAATTACAATGTACAAAGACAAAAATAAATGTGCACGCTGAACGCACACTAATGAGTTTATTATATTTGAACTTCTATTGAATACAAAATTAGATTGTATTGTTTCATTTGTAAAAATACAAGTCATGACCACACTTTGATTCCAACATATCCTTAAATTTTAAATAATACCGTCATAATCAAACCTAAAGACCGAAAAAAAAAACCCCAAACCAAAAGAAAGCACACGAAGACCACAAGATCGAACTGCCTAAGAGCGTTTCACTGCCAAAGAAATAGATCGGATCCATACGGGACCAATCCAAAATAGGTCTAAGACCAATTTTTTTCACCGTTAGCGTTTGGTATGACTAGCACAAAACTAACATTACACCAAAATCAACATATTATCCTTGA